TTTCGTCCGCAGGTGGCTGCGGGGAGCAGCGCCCGAGGGAAGGGCAGCGCCGATCCCCTCTCCGGCTTCCTGTGGTGGTGCGGGCGGGCCGGGGTGGAGCTCAGCCCGAAGGTGAGGCAGGCCGGGCCGGGCCGGGCCGTCCCCCGCGCTGCCCCAGGCCACCAGGGCCACCCCGGGCTGCCCTAACAGGTCACCGCTCACCTCTCGCCCAAGGTTCGCCTGAGCAGGGAGGGCGCGGTGGCGGGATACGGCATGCTGGCTGCCGAGGAGCTGGAGGCGGGCTTCACCATCCCTCGCGCCGCGCTGCTGTCCCAGCACACCAGCTCCATCCAGGCCCTCCTGCAGGAAGGTGAGCGCGAGGAGAGGCTGCCTCACGCTCCTCGGGTCAGTCAGGAGGGCTGCTGTGCCTGCCGCGGCAACCTGTTTGTTTTCCCTATAGCGTTTTCCCCATTTTTCCTTTTAAGGGGGGGGGAAGCCCAGGGAAGCTTTGCGCAGGATGCTGGAGCAGGGAGGTGCAGGGCCGGTAGCCACGGGGTGAGTACCCCATCGCTTCCCTAAGGGAGCCTGGAGCCATGCCAGGCAGGGGGAAAAGCCCGTTACTGCCCTATCTCTGATCTTCATATGACAACCACCCGTACGATGGCGCTTTCCTTGAGGCCCAGGACAGACGCTGCTAGGAAAAAGAACGGTTTCTTTCTTGCTGAGGGCACCCCGAGCCTCGGGGTGAGGACAGCAAGGCGGTGGGGGGGGGGGGGGTTTTGTCTTTCGTGGCCCCCCGGGGCGCGGGGGGGGGGGAGGAGGGGCGGGGGGGGGGGGGGGTGGTTCTGGCTCAGCTCAGGACCAAACCTGGAGAGGTCTTGTCTTGAAGCAGCTTCTGGTTCTGCTTCAGCTCAGGACAAACCCAAACCTGGAGAGGTCTTGCGGAGTAAAAGCAGAACTCCCCACCCCAGGCTGAAGACAAGGCGAGGAGGCGTGTAGGATTCAAGCTTTGGTTCTTGGAAGATTTGTTCTCAGAGGAAAGAACCAAAACCTCAGATCGACTTACGTTTTCTCCATCGTCTGTGGTTCCTTAGCCCAGGAGTCCCTGCAGAGCCAGTCCGGTTGGGTGCCTCTCCTGCTGGCCCTGCTACACGAGTACACAGCCAGCAACTCCCACTGGCAGCCTTATTTCTCCCTCTGGGAGGACTTCAGGAGCCTGGATCACCCCATGTTCTGGTAAGGTGAAACCAGGCGGGGCTGTGGGGTGGCCCAGTGTGACAGCCGAACACGGGGGCTGCTGACCAGGAGTCTTGGGGTTGGATGTGGTCCTACTGCCTGACTTCATCCCTCTGTTCTAGCCCTGTGCTGTCAATGGCAGTAGCCAACAACAGCAGTAGCCGAGGGGTCCCCCTACCTGGGCTCGGAGCTAGCTACAGGCATAGCCAGAAAACAGGAACCTGGAGAGCACCAGGAAGCTGAGATTTTGAAGGAGAAAGGAGTTTATAGATCCTTCTCCCTGGGGCAGGCAGAGATAAACCTGCTGTTTTTTCTTGCAACAGGCCTGAAGAAGAGCAGAGAAGGCTCCTGCAGGGCACAGGCATCCCAGAAGCAGTGGACAAGGACCTGGCTAACATCCACCTGGAGTACACCTCCATCATCCTGCCTTTCATGGAGTCCCACCCCAACGTCTTTGACCCCAAGCTGCACACGCTGGAGTTGTACAAGCAGCTGGTGGCATTTGTCATGGCCTACAGGTGAGAAGGGAGGGCTTTGCTCCAACAAGGAGCAAGGGCAAGGAGTAGGATCACAGGAAAGACTGTAGGCCGTTACTTAAAGGGTTGCAGTTGCACAAGAATGCAAGTATAAGGTGAAGCTTGCCCTGTGCTGCAAGGTGTTAAAACAGGCTTGTCTTCATCTCCCTTGTCTTAGCTTTCAGGAGCCTCTGGAGGAAGAAGATGAAGATGAGAAGGGGCCCAATCCTCCGATGATGGTGCCTGTAGCAGATATTTTGAATCATGTGGCCAACCACAACGCCAACCTGGAATACTCTCCCGTGAGTGCAGAGCTGCTCTGCCAGGCATCAGAGTCTGGTTCCTCTTCACTGCAAGGCCTTTGGGAGTGGTGGCGCAGCAAGGCTGGCTCTCTGAACGCAGAGCAGCACTGCTCACCTGCCAGGACAAGCGAGTCTGGCCTGGATCTCATTAATACGAAGCTATTTTGCTCAACATACTCCCCTGCAGCATGCCTGGTTTTAGCTAGGAAGAGCTCAGGGTCATCCGAGCCTCTTTGAAACACCTTGTTTCCGAGCGGTAGGATCACCGCAGCTCTGAGAGCCTCTTTCTCTCCCTGCTTGCAGCAATGTTTACGAATGGTTACAACACAGCCCGTCGGCAAAGGACAAGAGATCTTCAACACATACGGGCAGATGGCCAACTGGCAGCTCCTACACATGTATGGCTTCGCGGAGCCGTACCCTAGCAACACCAACGACACAGCCGACATCCAGATGGTGACAGTACGCAAGGCAGCACTGCAGCGTGAGTGGCACCCGTAGCCACTTTGGGAAAGGATGGGGCAGGGATCTCGCTTAAATAGCGATGTGATGAAACAGGGATCGAGGGTGACTTGAAAAATAAGCCGGTTCCACGGCTCTTCAGGTGCTGGGGTTATGCCTTGGTTTTCTGCCTTCTGTTTCCTCTTCTCCATTCACCACCCCCCCCCCCCCCCCCC